TTGCATAAAAATTTTGCATAAATAAACAAACAACGCGAATATCTATGCACACTCGTCATACATTCAAACTTTCGAGGTTAGGTTTCCGAGAAGAAAATGGCGAAGTATAAAGAATACCAATTATTGGAATAAAATCAAAAATCAGAGAAACTCGAGAAACCCTGATCGAAATTACAATCGCAGAGGCTTTTTCAACGTGATAGAAAAATAGTAGGCATAAAATCTAGATATTACTTTATAAATTGATATACTAGGAAATCATCAGGGACGTACCTTCGTCGTGATCATCCGCGACAGGTCGTGGCTCGCATGCTGCTTGTACGGTAATCGGTATGGTAGTGATCAAAAAGTTTTCCCTTTCTTCACGTTTCTTGTCGTCTTGTGCCTGCAAAGCCTTTTTTATGAGTTCAGTTTGTTGCTTCTTACGAGTTTTCGTTGCCGTCACCAGGGACCTCTAAGTAATAGTTGTAGTAAATTCTACTTAATCTACTGAAAGTTCTAATTCTAAGGTGTTCTACGACTCCAGCGTTTAGCTCAGGCTTACATGATGTTCCTGGTTGATGGTTACTTCCTCCACCTTGGTCTTCACTTCCGGTGTCCATGGGGGGTCGACGACTGGCAGGGATTCGATGCCGATTTTAGGCGACGGCAACGTGAACTCTATTCCAGGCGGAGGCACCTTGAAGGTGGACTGAGCGTTCTCTTCCATCCGCGAGTAGACCTGGTACCGCAGCTTCCACAGCACTTGGAACCTCAAGATGGCGTTGATTCGCACGCTGGTGCTGCTGTGCTGCAGACCATGGTGCATCAGCTCGCTGGCTTGGTTCGGAACACGCACGGCAGCGACTATGAAGAGAGAGGCTGCGGAAGCTGCCACCTCCTGGTTGGCTTCTAGCAAAAGCTCCCAGGCTACGGGCAGCACGTCCACGAACAGTTCCTCCGTCATCACCACTGCTCCTTTGACCAAAGTGGCTAGAGGCGCGTGGAATATGTCCTTCACTTGGGTCCTCAGGTATTTTAGAATCGCTGAATTTTCTTTCTCGGGGTCTTCGTTGTTCGATTTTTTAGAAGATTCCTTCCCTTTCTCCGAATCCTGGTCGACTAGGTCCTTGGATAGGTCTCGTTGGGTGAGTCTGCCTGACTGGGAGCCGTCCATGTTCTTCTCGATTCTGGAGAGGCATAGGAGTCATTGGAACGACGTTTAATTTCGCAAGATGATGATTGAAATGATTTTGATGTTTGAGGCAAGTAATTGGTTTCGTGGAATATAAATCATTTAAGCTTTATATTTTCACGAGATTGAAAATATTAGAAGAATCGGGATTGAGCAACTGAATTCTGTAAAAAGACGGAGAAGCTTTTTTCCAAAAATAATTACTTTGATTTTTCAAAATGTATAATATATTGATTCCAAATTGATTCTTAAATGTAAAAATGCGAAGCAAGGAAACAGGAATTTCAAAATTTCCACAGGTTTGATTTATTATTGCATTGAGGATAAGTTCATATGAGTATATCTTTTACTATACTATTTTTTAAATAATATTATTAAAAGATTCTTACTTTTGTGAAAATAATATTATTAAAATATTATTAAAAGATTCTTACTTTTGTGAAAATAATATTATTAAAATATTATTAAAAGATTCTTACCTTTGTGAAAATAATATTATTAAAATATTATTAAGAAATTAAAATAAACTTTAAGAAACTAAAATAAATTTTTGAAAAGTTCTGATCTTCGTCAAAATAATATTAAAATATTAGTAAAAGATTCTCATCTTTGTCAAAATAATATTATCAAAAAACTTTTTAAAATTCCCACCTTCGTGAAAATAATATTATTAAAACATTATTAAAAAATTACAATACTTTTAAAAGATTCTCATCTTCGTCAAAATTTGTATCACATGAAAAGTATAATAATATAATAAATCGCGTAATTACTTGTATTTCTTCCCCACGCTGTCCTTTCTTCGCACAGGTGACACCTGGGTACTGGTCTGCTCCGAAACTTTGCGACTGCGTTTCTCCTTTTTACCCGCTTCCTTCTTATCGGTATCGAAGTCGAATATCCCGGTACCATTCAGGATCCCGAATTCTTCTCCATAGATTTTCCTTATGGACTTGATTAATCTGCTACACGCGCGCATTTGACGTCGGTGGCAATACGGATGGCAGAAGTTCTGATGGGAGCAGTAGAAGTTGAACGAATTGGCGAGCTGTACCAATACTTTCATCCATGGGAAATTTTTATTCGTCTCGTCAGTTTCGTTACTGTCACTTGGACTCTCCGGTGGCTGGTCGTCGATGAGAATTCCAGGGGATTCTTCGCCGCTGATTTCACCACCGAAACCTGGCTCCGATGTGTCGCTTCTGTCTGACAGCGAACTCACCTTCCTCTTCGACTGTATCGAATCCGCTCGTTTCACTGTGTCTGGGTATTTATCGTAGAAATTAATTCTTATAAATTGTTCTTCGGACTTGGAGCGTTCTTATGAACAAGCATGTACATGTAATTAATATACAAATAATTCTTCATGCAATAGTACCTATTTTTTAATACAATATAGTATAATATTAATATAATATGATATAATAAATATAATATAATATATATATTATAATATCCAATATAATATAATATAAAATAATATTAATAATTATTTTATTATACTTACTATATTATTAATATATTATATTATTTATTTTATAGTATAACATATTTTATATTTTTTAATGTGATATTCTTTCTAGTATGTAATATATTATTGCTTATATTTTGCATTATAATATGTTTCATCTGTATTAATATGAAATTTTATTCTACGTTTATATATAATATTTTTCCTATTTTTTAAATATGATATTGCCTATATCTTTCAGTAGAATATATTTCGTATTTTTTAATTTAAAACCATTCTAGGATTTATCATATTTTTCTAATTTTTTAATGCAATATTTTTTTACTTTTAAATTAATAATATTTTTCCTACTTTTTAACGTAATAGTGAAATTATTATTATTATCTTCGGTATATTATTATACATGTACTTACAAGCCTCGCATTCAGTGTCCTTCCCTTCCTTAGTGCCACGCCGAAACTTCAAACTCCTTTTCTTAAACGACCCAGTAGCGTTCTCCGCGGTACCACGACGAAGAAGAAATGGCCGACTCTGTGGTGGTTGCACGCGTTTCGACTTCTCCTTCTCTGCATTTGGGTACTCCTCTCCTTGAATCGTGACCGTTGACTTGCTACTGCCCTCTGACTCATTGTCAGGCTCATAGAGAACGAAACTGATCTTGCGTTCCGCTAAGGAGAATATTCGTATTCCATTTCGACAATTAAATTAATAAAAAAAGAAAAAAAAAAGAAATACGATAAAATTTCACTAAAATTTCACTGTTATTAAATTTATCTTAATTCCTGGAATGAAATAAAATTCTCGCTACGTACGAGCAACTTCGCGATCACCCACGATCGACTGAAGACTCTGAGCAGACGTTTGAGAATGGCCCATCGACGACAGAGCCATGCTCCATCTTCGATTCGCTTCTCTGGTGTACATCCTCTCCCAGGGTTGTGGACGTTCTTTCGTTAGCTGCTTGTTAGACTTGAGTAAAGTCTGATAAGCTTCTCGCAGGAACGCTGTCACCTCTAGCAGCAGGATACAAGCAGCAAGACGCAGCGCGAATGGACACTGAGATCCGTAGCCATTTATGCTGGCTGAAACAAAGATGAACACGCTTCATCACCGGTAGATAACTCGCAAAATCACGAACGAAGTACTTTTGAACAAAATCAGGAATATTAAAAATTTTTAAAGGCATATAATGGATCTGGACCGTGATAAATTCAGTGTGAACTCACCTTAAGTGAGAAATTAGTTGGAATAAAAGTGAACTAGAATTGAATATCGTATATAATCACCTTCGTCGAGGAAATCTTCTTCCTCGTCTTCGATAATTAGATCCCTCTGTTTACCTTCATCGGACACCATCGATATCACTTGGTCGACATTTTGTTTATCTTCCAGCAACAGTTCTTCTAATCTTGCTCCAATAGACTGTCAATCAGATACATTGAATAGAATTACGTATGATTTTCTTCGTAGAGAATGTTTGTCTTTTTCATTCTTCGAATGTTGGTATTAGGGAAATACCTCAGCCCACTGATAGAACAATTTTCCAGCGGTACGTTGAAGTAGATGAGTTCTCGATGGCAAGGTGGACGTATTTCGGTTGCTGATAGGAACTGAGGGGCGAAACAGGGGGAAATTCATTTTTATCCACGTAGGCCATTGTCCTTTGTTGCACTGATGAACAAAATGAGCGCACTCCAGAAGCAGAGACGCTCTTGCCACCACTGGTGCATAGGGCTACGGAAAAATAACGTATATGGAGATTTTCTTAACACTCTCAGCTTCAAATCCACGGAAAAATAAGGATCTCTTTGGTAAGACAGTTTCGAGATTGACCTAACCTCTTTGCACTCGAGAGACGACTCTCAGCCGCCATTTTGATGCCGCAACTCGAAGTGAGTGATGTATACAATAATATCCGAATAATTATTTAAAATGATAAAATTATTTATAGATAATTTGAATGATACTTGAAAATTATTGAAAATAATTGGAATATTATATATAATTATAATTATACTTATATTATATAAAATTCAATAAT